CAATATATTCACCATCTTTATACTGGTCTTATTTTTTTATAGGCAAGTTTTATCTAAAATCCTTAACAAAAATGCATGTGATCCAGCAGACACGTAGACAGATGCTACACACATTGTATTAAAAGAGGTAAACTAGGGCCAGACACCGTATGTCAAACCGACATCGTCTGGGATTGAATTTGGAATCAAATTCATTGGGAAGCAACCGCAGCTGGTACCAAGACTTCTGGCATGGAGCCAAATGGTAAACATGCTATGGAATTCAGTGTGTTTTCTGGATTTCACGTATCTAGAAGTTATACTTTCAATCGTTTACACCATCCCCATATATTTTTAAAATTTAATATAACTATTTAAGTATGATCAAATCAAAGACAGAATCTCAATTCAAAGACGCTACAAAAATATATAGCATCATCATTTACTACCATATCTAGGGACAATGTATTTTACCTTTATAGATGATACTCGTCCCTCCTACACGCTATACGTTGTTGCTGAAAACGGTTTTGAAATAGAAACACTATACACGTGGTACAAAGAAGTTGAAAGAATGTTTATCATTTGTTTATAATACGTGTAAATAAACAAGTAATCTCCTTTTCACTGCGTTATCATAACGCTGAAAGCATTTCACACAAAAAATTAGTTAATATAACCGAACTCGGAGTTCAATGTTGTGCTTATCATAAAACAACAGAATGTGATGAAGTAATGTAATAGACAGAAAATAGATGGTTTTCAAACATAATTTTTTTTTACGGAAGGAATGATACATCGATTCTTAATTGTGCATTTACGGTCAATTTAGTTGCAAAATGAAATAAATTAAAATCGTTAAAGATGTAACAAAAACAATCGATCGCCTTCGAATTCATCTGAATACCCTGGGATTCCTATCGGTTCAGTTTTGTGTTAACATTATATTCAGTTAGTGCTTTTCCGTATCACATTTTGTTTGCCAATGTTGAAGGTTGTAACTTATGTAAGATTACAGCGTTATGGTATGCCTACCAGGTAAGATCAATGAGGCACGTTGTTGTATACACAAAATTCCGAAGAATTAGGTCGTTTTCAGCTTTTTAGTCAATCTAACAAAGCTTTGATCTCGTAGCAAAACGGGTCACATAAAGACCACTGATAACCCGGAGACAGCCATAGATTCCCTTGCAGCTACTTGACAGGCAGTCTCGTCCAGAACATAAACACGAACAGTGAAAAATGAGATCAGACTGGCTTTCTACTACCCTGTACAGATTGATTGATACACTGGATAGCACACTGTTATGGTTCCTAGGACCTGCCTTTTTACTTACCGCGATAAGGAAGACGATTAATCACACATAGATAGTGAACAAAATCTGCATATATTCCAATAAGGTTCCTCCATATACAATAGACGCATCCGCTAATGTCTATAGCAGCGTGTATACTAACATTTATATGAACGAGGAATTTAACGGTGACTAATATGTACCGGGGAATTATATAGCCTGAAAAAGACAAACACGGATTATCAGGGTTAAATAAAAGCTACCAGAATCGAGGACGGCAAGACTTAGTAACCAGAAGGAGGAATGCCAGGACTGAACAACTTCAACGAAGAATATGATTTGATCTTAGTGAATAGTTTACCAAATGATCAAAATGATGACTTCCCCACATATCAGTCCTGTTAGAATATGATACATATATGTGTTTGTTGTCCCTCTTTTGCCGTGTATTCTATCAGAGTAACATGCACTTTTTTGCTCTTTTGACGTCAGTATTTACATGGATAATTTCGCTTTTTCAAATAAGCAAATGGAAGGTTTATTTCAAAAAGCTATTATTTTTCCCCTTCTTGAATGACGTAACATCAATCGAGTGTAGCGTATAGATCAACACAAGACAGCTTTTCTTAAAGTTTTATTGACTTCAAATGTACAGATGATATACATAAAGACAAATACGTAAACATTTTGGAATATTTCTTTGATGCTTGAGGAATACTTACATAAAACTTCATTAATCCAAACTGAAATATCAAATTGCTAGACATGAATATACTTGAACAATGTTTCTGTACTTCTGGGACTACATGTCCGGAATAACGATGTTCCGACATAATTAAACACGACGATGAATATATTGGCTCCATAAAAAATTATGAGAACGTGATTTGGATTAAACGTATGGGTACACCAGTTATCATACGACGTCATATGACTTGTAGCTTTGGAATGTACACAAAACAATTTAAATGGAATATTTGATTTCAAATGAAATGCCAACAAAACAACACATCATTTGATAGTTATTTCATAACATCTCATACACAGATAACATCATGTATTTCCGTATATTACCACGAACAACTTCTGGCGGGAGTCTACTCCATATATCTATTACATCATACGTTCCTTCAGGTCGACTTCATTCCTTTGTTTTCTTTAGTAATCATACGATATGGGAACCTAAAATATAGGCGCTTGGAAAGCACGAAAACAAAAGATAGGCGCTGAGGAGACATCAAATCATTCTAAAGTCAAGCGATGCAGATTCACAATTACAAATTAGAGTTAATAAGGAGATACAGAAGCAAAAGACAGGAAAACGTACTGCAGTCGCTGAGGAGAAGAGACCAAAAAGGTTTACATGCGCTGAATAGTAACCAAAACAAAAACAGGCGCCGAGGAAAAACCAAAACCAACGACAGTCGGAAACAACAAACCTGAACAAGAAATCAAGCGCCGAGTAGACACGTAAAACATTCGGGGAAATATCACGAACCAAAGTAAACTTAAAATTATATCACTGGTTCTCTGATTCCTTTAAAAAGTTGCTTGACATAAGAAATACCAGGGGTGCATGTGTCTACGCCTTCCAAAACCGTTGTTTTCACATAGCTCATTTGGAGGATCTCTGGAAACGTGTCAGCCTTTGTAATAGATACCCATAAAGGAGCTATAAAAGAAGATGTGCTGGTTTGACGTACACTTAGAGAGTGACATTATAAAAGCTGAACATTTCCAGCTATTCGTCAGCCATATAGGGAATATGGATATTTCGATATCGTGAACTAGCGCCATTTAAGACATTAAACTCTACATACATTTATCTAATGAACAGAGGAGAGTAGACCGAGCACTTAGTCTGTAATTCTACCCGCGACCAAACCGGAAATCGGTGTCATTATATGCGATTCACGAGAGTTCACTTAGCTGCTCCAAAAACAGTACAGGAAGTTAGATAGATATAAAAATACATGAAAAGATCAACAAAACGAAAACAAACCACAGAAAACAACGAAATAGTGAAGTGTTTTCTTTTTACATAAAATTAACTAAGTGCACTGTACCTGGTTGAGCGTTGTACGGAAGTGACATCATTGAGTATATTTCGTCTTGAAAGCAAATAGAGTAGTTGCGTTTTAAGTTAAGCGCCATGGGATCATCCTTAATTGATTATATAGTATACAGTGGGTGTCTTCAGTGGAACGTACCTTCTTTTATAATCTGGTATCTGTATTTATATACTGACCGGTTAGAAAATTGAATCTAAAACAATGAACAATTTTCTATTAAATATTTTTAAAAAAAATGATATTTGCTCCTTGTAAAGACGTCAACTCTAATACATATACTTGTGTGTATCAACATCTCAGAAAGTACTAACAGAAATAAGATTTTAAGCTGATCTTCTAGTGTCTTTTTGTAACTAGGGTTTTAGAAATAGATATGATACGAAATAAATCAAGAGTCATATTCGCTTAGAATCAATTACATAAATTAACATAAGTGCAGTATATCTGTATATCAGGAAATCTAGATATTCACGTGCATGACTGTACGGGGTGCAAATACGAAGTTATGATATCGGTATTAGATTCTAAGAGAAGTAATAACATAAAAAACCGGACGATAGACTTGAACGAGAGATATCCCGATATCAGACATATATATAAGTAACGATATTGTTATTAAGCTCTAAAGAATTAAAATAGGGTTTGTAGAGTATAGATACATATATCAATGTTAGAAGTACAAGGGACACGCTACCAATATCGCACTACAGGAAAACGATATAGACTACAACGGAGGCTGATCTCGATATCAAACATCAAACGGTATTGATATCAGACTCCAAGATGTTTCAGCATCAATGTCGTAGTATTGAGTATAGATATCGACATCTGACGTATAAGGGAAACGGTATTGATACAGGATATAAAGGGGAAAGGATACCCCGATGTCGGGTGTATAAGGCTTGCAATATCGATAAAAACTACAATGGTTCACGAAACCGGTTTGGGACGTAAAATGATATTGGACGTACACATGGGATTCAAATCTTTGGAACTTGATACAATTAGGTATACATTATTTCGGAATAGATGCTTTTTACCTAAAAAATACAACACATAAGCTTAAAAACAAAAACACATAATATTTCAGAACATACAAAATATTAATTTCTTCTCGTACATTGTTTCAATTACAGACCCATGGCAATAGTATAGATGTTTATAGTCGATCATATTTCTGATAGACTGGTTTACTGCACGCTCATACAGGTACCTGGACATGGTGTTTAGAGACATCATGACATACACCTAAAGTTTGAAAATGTTACTGGGGAAGGTAGCTACTTAAATGCCTTGTCTATAATGTATAACACATATAGATGTTCAATGGAGGTATCCGCCTCCGTACGAAATTCACGTCACATTTATACATTTTAAGGAGTATATTTATAAGGAAATTGAAAATGTTCAAAACAAATTCATTAGTGATCTACATTTTAAGACGAATAGTGGAATTTACTTTACCAGCTATAAACAGAAACGTGCTATTTATAATTAAGTTAATTAATGCAATTTGAAAAAATAAAAATTCATTCCAACACATACTGTAATATTTATGTAAAACATATCATATTTGGGTTTGCTTATATACATTGAAGAGGTATACTTACGTGGCGAGTAAATTAAACAATTAGGCCAATTAATAACAATATATGACGTCACAGTGTCAATGACTTCACAGTATTTGTTGATACACACATATATATATATATATATATATACACGCATATATTACATGGATCATGCATCACAACACTGAATTGATTCTCACTAAAATACAATAAGATACAGCATTTATCACTTATATCAGCAAGTGTAACCTTTTTGATAATCGAAAACATTTTGTGCAATATGACATATGCTAACTGTAATTTCTACTGATACACATAGAAAGTGATTATATACACAATTTGCTGGACACAATTATCAAAATCGTCAACATGTAGTGAAGCTAAAGAAAAGAGAAAAATAAACATGTATACAACATTATTATGTTTTTTACAACGGAAATTGATTGTGTTTTGGTCATTATAACATGGTTATCTAACATGACTATTCTTATTTGAAGTTGATATGAGGAATCCATTATCCTAGGACTAATCCCTGGAGGTTAAGAATTCCTAGTGAAAATGGTTTTGAAAAATGTTTTTGCCAGCGGAAATAACAGCAAGTTACTCATAAGTATCACTCTTCAATGCCACGATAAAACATTAGACACATACATATTTAGATAATGAATGGATAGCATGTCAATCAAACGAACCTTTGGTGAATACATATTAATATTTTGTCATCAATTACACAGCAAATTAGCGTTTGACCGTACAACGGGGTATTCATGCAGTCAGGCTGATAACTTAAGTTTTTTTCTGCCTTTTGACACTCAAGACAATGCATTATGGATACAAATGGTGTCGTAGGGAATGGTTTGAACGTTTGATATGCAATGTATGTTAAGAACACTCACATTTGTGTGAGTTGCCTGTAATTGATACACTTACTCACTCCTTTTATTTCAAGAATTATACAAGACAATATATTTCATGCGTCAAACAATCAATAACATACATGTGATAGCGCAGTTTGCTTCACGAGATAAACGTTTAGCAGGTTTTTTTCTCTCTCAAATTTCATAACTAAAAATATCAATCTAACACATCAACAATGTCTTCGTTGGGAACTTAAAAACACGTTCGTACAATGCAAGATGATGATATCGTTTAAAGTGTAACTGTTATAAACAGTGTTGTCCCACTAACACACGAAACATCGTAACTACACTTTCGTACACACCTTACCATACTCATGTATAGTACACCAGTCGAACACTAAGTCACGAGTGTTACTCATGTTACTTAAGGTTTTTTTATGATTATAATGAAACAAAGTTAAATAATGCATATTACAAAAATAGAAAATACTTCTTCGAATTAACCGGTAACAGTGTCACTGTGAGATATCTCGAGTAAAAACATCAACATAGGTTTGCTCAGCCATATAAACTTACGTTCACGTAATATCAGGTTACCACACAGTAACATTGTAACAGTTTTTAGAAACTTAAATATTACAAACAAAATAGTGGTCAACACATGCTAGCTACTGTTTATTTAGGAGATATCGGTAACAACTCGCCACATCAATATACAATAAGACATCAGAGATACCACATTCAGTGCACCAGACACGCACGCATTTTCAAGTTTCTTTTTAATTTCCTACACAATGTTCAAGTTAACGGGGAGTTCAGTATGTGTATGATAAAGACAACAAGGGTCAATACAGACGACAATAAAGCGTTATATACAAAATGACTACTTGAGGAATTTGACGATATCCAAGGAACAATGATAGTGATGACTAGATATAGGTTCTGACACCTTTTATTAAATATCCGCTTCCATTTGTTGTTCTTCATTGTTATTCATCGCTGTTATTTCATCACATGATAAATCATCGAAGCTATCGTTGAATACATCATTGAAGGTTGTCTGCGTCATTTGCGTGTTTGGAGGAGCCACCGGAACCGGGTTGGTAAACATCCCACCATTCGGAAGTGGAAGTGGAAAGCTTCCGAATGAATTTTGGCGGTCATAACAGGGGCGTGATGACATTGAAGGTTTGTTGCTGGCACAGGACGCCCCCTTACGGACGTTCTTATGGGGCTGGAGCAACACTATGTACATTTTCGGTGCAAACAAGCACACCAGTGCGACTGTGGCACTAATGCTAACACACATACAAAGGGAGGTAACTTCAATCTGCAACGAAAATAGACATGTATTAGAAAAGATTCTAAAAATGTAGTTTAATGTTGCATTAATTTGGTATTACAGTCGGAGGCGAAACTACAATGTGTCTGCCAACGGTATCTGGTCCTTGAAACATGAAAAATCTAAAGCGATGTCATAATTTGGTCATGAATATTGCTACGTTTATCATTTTTGGTGTGAGCGTATGGTAACATGTATATTGATAGTGTAGATATGTATCACTCATCATAACTGGTTTGTTATCGACAATACATATAGAACTGTTTCGTGATACCAGGATTAGAAACCTGCGTCAACCTAGAATCCAAACATTCACAAACTACTAATATTCGGCGGAAATGTGAGCAAGGGAGGGGGGTGGGGGGTGGGGGGTAATTTTTAAAAGTGTTTAATTATTTCGGGATCGTTGAGCATGGCAATTTGAAAAACACTACAATAAGACTCCCCGAAAATAATCCTGTTTTAAGCTTGCATTACGTCATTCATGATATTATCATGATCATACGGATAAGCGTACACCAATAAACCGCATTATCATAAAGGAGATACTTTAATAAATACCAAAAACAGACGAATGAACCTCGTAATGTTAACATTAACCTTGATTACAAGATACTAAGTAACCTTTCATCAAAGTTGTAACCTAAATCCTCCATCATCAATTGGTGACGTGATTATTGCACCCACATAATGTGTTAATTACAGGAGATTATATGTTTTATTGATATGAATATGTTTAAACCGCCTTTATGTTATACTCCGCTGTTGTTTATTGTGATAAACCCTAGATAGACACTGTTTGAATAAGAATGATATCTTCCATTACACGAGAACGGACTACTCGCTTCATCACTGATTAGGTCATTGGTTTAATTACAGTATCTGGAAACATTGCCAATATTGGAAATTAAGTTGCTATTTGTTAAAGTTAATAGACTATTGCCAAAAACCTGAAGACATTCAGAGATTCTATGAATATATGTGGTAATTATCTTGTGTCGATTTTACATGGTGCCTATTCAAGCGGAAGTGTCTACGCGGAGATCAATACGCCTCGTTTATTGCCGGTCTTATCAGAGGTGTTCAGAACGAAAAACATAAGCCCACGTTAAAAAACCTCTTCTTTGACACTAACAACACCGGAGCTTCTTATGAAAAGACGCGTACTAATTCCCTTTCTAAAAGCAGGTTTAAATTCTCAGCTTTGGATATCTTTTTATTCCATATTGATATAAAACGGTATTTTGAAATTTGACGTGCGATGTCGCATACCTTGCCGTATGATTTTACATTTTTTGAATTTCGTTTTCTGAACGTATTTTGGTAAGATACCTAATATTGGTTAAAAGGGCTTCACATATTTGACGAGGGAAAAAATAAATCATTCTGTTGTTGATCAGCAATATAAACATTCAAATAGACAGCAATATTCCAGAGCATTGCTGCAGCAGGACACGTTGTCTCACCCTTAATACGCAAGGACAACAATACCAGAGCATCATGTCAAAGGGACAATATAGTTAGACTCACCACAGCATCAACACAATAGAGTTAGACTCAACACAGCATCAACACACTAGAGTTAGATTCACCACAGCATCAACACATTAGAGTTAGACTCACTACAGCATCAACACACAAGAGTTAGACTCACCACAGCATCAACACACTAGAGTTAGACTCATCACAGCATCAACACAATAGAGTTAGACTCACCACAGCATCAACACACTAGGGGAAGACTCACCACAGCATCAACACAATATAGATAGACTCACCACAGCATCAACACAATAGAGTTAGACTCACCACAGCATCAACACACAAGAGTTAGACTCACCACAGCATCAACACACTAGGGTAAGACTCACCACAGCATCAACACAATATAGATAGACTCACCACAGCATCAACACAATAGGGTAAGACTCACCACAGCATCAACACACTAGGGTAAGGCTCAACACAGCTTCAACACACTAGAGTTAGACTCACCACAGTATCAACACACTAGAGTTAGACTCATCACAGCATCAACACAATAGAGTTAGACTCACCACAGCATCAACACCATAGAGTTAGACTTACCACAGCATCAACACACTAGCGTTAGACTCACCACAGCATCAACACACTAAAGTTAGACTCACCACAGCATCAACACAATATGGTTAGACTCACCACAGCATCAACACAATAGAGTTCGACTCAACACAGCATCAACACACTAGAGTTAGACTCCCCACAGCATCAACATACAAGCGTTAGACTCAACACAGCATCAACACAATAGAGTTGGACTCACCACAGCATCAACACACTAGCGTTAGACTCACCACAGCATCAACACACTAAAGTTAGACTCACCACAGCATCAACACAATATAGTTAGACTCACCACAGCATCAACACACTAGAGTTAGACTCACCACAGCATCAACATACAAGCGTTAGACTCAACACAGCATCAACACAATAGAGTTGGACTCACCACAGCATCAACACAATAGAGTTAGACTCACCACAGCATCAACACACTAGAGTTAGACTCACCACAGCATCAACACACTAGAGTTAGAATCACAACAGCATCAACACAAAAGAGTTAGACTCACCACAGCATCAACACACTAGAGTAAGACTCACCACAGCATCAACACAATATAGTTAGACTCACCACAGCATCAACACAATAGGGTAAGACTCACCACAGCATCACAAACTAGGGTAAGACTCACCACAGCATCAACACACTAGAGTAAGACTCACCACAGCATCAACACCATATAGTCAGACTCACCACCGCATCAACACAATAGGGTAAGACTCACCACAGCATCAACACAATCTAGTTAGACTCACCACAGCATCAACACAAATAGACTTAGACTCACCACAGCATCAACACACTAGAGTTAGACTCACCACAGCATCAACACACTAGAGTTCGACTCACCAAAGCATCAACACACTAGAGTTAGACTCACCACAGAATCAACACAATATAGTTAGACTCACCACAGCATCAACACAAATAGAGTTAGACTCACCACAGCATCAACACACTAGAGTTAGCCTCACCACAGCATCAACACACTAGAGTCAGACTCAACACAGCATCAACACATTCGAGTAAGACTCACCACAGCATCAACACACTAGAGTTAGACTTACCAAAACATCAACACAATAGAGTTAGACTCACCACAGCATCAACACAATAGAGTTAGACTCACCACAGCATCAACACACTACAGTTAGACTCACCACAGCATCAACACACTAGCGTTAGACTCACCAAAGCATTAACACACTAGAGTTAGACTCACCAAAGCATCAACACACTAGAGTTACACTCACCACAGCATCAACACACTAGCGTTAGACTCACAACAGCATCAACACACTAGAGTTAGACTTACCAAAGCATCAACACAATAGAGTTAGACTAACCACAGCATCAACACAATAGAGTTAGACTCACCACAGCATCAACACACTAGAGTTAGACTCACCACAGCATCAACACACTAGAGTTAGACTCACCACAGCATCAACACACTAGAGTTAGACTCACCACAGCATCAACACACTAGAGTTAGACTCACCACAGCATCAACACACTAGAGTTAGACTCACCACAGCATCAACACACTAGAGTTAGACTCACCACAGCATCAACACACTAGAGTTAGACTCACCACAGCATCAACACACTAGAGTTAGACTCACCACAGCATCAACACACTAGAGTTAGACTCACCACAGCATCAACACACTAGAGTTAGACTCACCACAGCATCAACACACTAGAGTTAGACTCACCACAGCATCAACACACTAGAGTTAGACTCACCACAGCATCAACACACTAGAGTTAGACTCACCACAGCATCAACACACTAGAGTTAGACTCACCACAGCATCAACACACTAGAGTTAGACTCACCACAGCATCAACACACTAGAGTTAGACTCACCACAGCATCAACACACTAGAGTTAGACTCACCACAGCATCAACACACTAGAGTTAGACTCACCACAGCATCAACACACTAGAGTTAGACTCACCACAGCATCAACACACTAGAGTTAGACTCACCACAGCATCAACACACTAGAGTTAGACTCACCACAGCATCAACACACTAGAGTTAGACTCACCACAGCATCAACACACTAGAGTTAGACTCACCACAGCATCAACACACTAGAGTTAGACTCACCACAGCATCAACACACTAGAGTTAGACTCACCACAGCATCAACACACTAGAGTTAGACTCACCACAGCATCAACACACTAGAGTTAGACTCACCACAGCATCAACACACTAGAGTTAGACTCACCACAGCATCAACACACTAGAGTTAGACTCACCACAGCATCAACACACTAGAGTTAGACTCACCACAGCATCAACACACTAGAGTTAGACTCACCACAGCATCAACACACTAGAGTTAGACTCACCACAGCATCAACACACTAGAGTTAGACTCACCACAGCATCAACACACTAGAGTTAGACTCACCACAGCATCAACACACTAGAGTTAGACTCACCACAGCATCAACACACTAGAGTTAGACTCACCACAGCATCAACACACTAGAGTTAGACTCACCACAGCATCAACACACTAGAGTTAGACTCACCACAGCATCAACACACTAGAGTTAGACTCACCACAGCATCAACACACTAGAGTTAGACTCACCACAGCATCAACACACTAGAGTTAGACTCACCACAGCATCAACACACTAGAGTTAGACTCACCACAGCATCAACACACTAGAGTTAGACTCACCACAGCATCAACACACTAGAGTTAGACTCACCACAGCATCAACACACTAGAGTTAGACTCACCACAGCATCAACACACTAGAGTTAGACTCACCACAGCATCAACACACTAGAGTTAGACTCACCACAGCATCAACACACTAGAGTTAGACTCACCACAGCATCAACACAC